AAAAATTGTTTTTTTGTATATCAATATGGAAACTAAATTATTAACCGAAAACATTTCAATTTTCTGAAAGATACACCGTATTTCCTAAGACTATGGAATAGAAAAAAGCTTCTTAAACTTTAAAATCAACAAGACCAGTATAATTAGGAGAAACATAATAGAAGTTTAAACAAACAAATACCAACATAAATAATCCCTTGGTGAATGATCAAACCAAATAAAACATGGTGAGAAGCTATGACAACTGATATGCAACTAACATAAAAAGTAACATAATGTTCATATTCTTTAGGATCTTTTTATTAGGATGTTTTTAACATGGAGTCTCACGGCCCTTGAAATGCACATTAATCATGGCAAATCCTCATAGATGTTCATATTCTTTAGGATCTTTTTATTAGGATCTTTTTATCAGGTAACACAAAAATACTCTCATGCAACGTCTTCAAGGAGGGAACTGGGGCACGAACTCTCATCCATCGAGATTGTTCCAACTGCTTCACTGCCAAAAACCGTAAAAAAAAAGGCATTACAACAAAGTCTAACACCAAATACAATACAAAAGCTTAAGTTGCACCGTTTGATATGACGAAGGATTTATGTTGTAAAAAACAACCAATGCAAACATATGAATTATACACTTTACTTTCACACCTACTAGAGTACCTCAACTTATACTTTTTTGTTCTAGATTTTTCTTCCTTGCTCTCAAATAGGTGAACTAAGGAGAATGATATGTAAATTAAGTTTGCAGAATGATTGCTCTCAAATAGGTGACCTAAGGAGAATGATATGTAAATTAAGTTTGCATAATGATTGAGATTATGTTGTCATAGTACTCACATGAACTACTAATATCACCCCTATTCATTTCTAATATTTAAGAAATCCTTTTAAACATATAAACACTACAAGGAAAAAGGCCATTACCGGCGACAAAAGTCGCTGGTAAAAGTCCAAAATGTCGCCGGTAATACTAATAGCGGCGACGCGTCGCCGGTACTGAGTCGTCACTACTGCTTCGTCGCTATTGATCAATTTGTCGCCGCTAATGAGAAACGTCGCCGCTATTGACCGTGTCGCCGCTAATGAGTCGTGTCGCCGCTAATAACTATGTCGCCGGTAACGAGTCTTGTCGCCGGTAATAGTGTCGCCGGTAATAACAGTTTTCATTTTTTTAATTTTTTTTTTAATTAATGATTTTGGTTGCCGGTAATAATGTCGTCGGTAATTACATAACAATATTCGATTAAATATCAAAAATAATAGTGTCGACGTTAATCACAAAACAAACATCCGATTAAATATCAAAAATAATAGTGTCAACGCTAATTACAAAACAAACATCCGATTACAATTAAATATCAAAAGTCATAATATCCGATTAAATATAAAAAGTAATAATGTCGCCCGGTAATTACAAAAAACAACCAAAGTTTTACAATCTACCAAGTAGCAATTAAAGCGTGACAACATATGCAAATAAAACGCATCCTTACATACCATCATCTTCGTTCCCATCGTTTCCTTGATTATTTTGGGATTGAAAAGCCGAATAAAGCTCATCCCTACTTCCTGGGTCACTGAGCATTGCACGAAGATTTTCCAACTACATAATTAATAACAACATATATAAACTTATAAGTTAGATTGTCAAACATAAACAAAAACTATCAAAATACATTGCTATTTTTAAACAAAGATAGAAAACCAAAGTACATTGCTATTTCTTGCACTTGGGACAAAAACCCAATTACCAAACTTTTTAGCAAATAATCACCACAAAACCAAATTACCAAATCAACATGCATTTTACGATGCTAAAGTAGATTGCTATTTTTAAACAAATATAGAAAACCAAAGTACATTGCTATTTCTTGCACTTGGGACAAAAACCCAATTACCAAACTTTTTAGCAAATAATCACCACAAAACCAAAATTACCAAATCAACATGCATTTTACAATGCTAAAGTAGATTGCTATTTTTAAACAAAGATAGAAAAACCAAAGTACATTGCTATTTCTTGCACTTGGGACAAAAACCCAATTACCAAACTTTTTAGCAAATAATCACCACGAAACCAAAATTACCAAATCAACATGCATTTTACAATGCTAAAGTAGATTGCTATTTTTAAACAAAGATAGAAAAACCAAAGTACATTGCTATTTCCTGCACTTGGGATAAAAACCCAATTACCAAACTTTTTAGCAAATAATCACCACAAAACCAAAATTACCAAATCAACATGCATTTTACAATGCTAAAGTAGATTGCTATTTTTAAACAAAGATAGAAAACCAAAGTACATTGCTATTTCTTGCACTTGGGACAAACCAAAGTAGATTGTTTTACCTGTGATGGTTGTGATGATTGTTGTGATGGTTGCGAAGGCTGTGGAATCGGCGGGAGAGCAGAAGGTTTATGGCCAATGCCTCTAATATGGCCATGTCGCTCTCCTAATACTTTCTCGAATGCAGCTCTTTCTTGCGTAATAACATTTGCGAAGGCTGTGGAATCGGCGGGAGAGCAGAAGGTTTACGGCCAATGCCTCTAATAACATCCTATTTATACCAAATACAAAAATTTCACAATCATATACCACATTTACAACAAACATACATACATTCACATACACACAATAACATCCTACTTATAACAAATACATATAATTTCACATATCATATATATAGTTGTACCAAATACTCATATACCACATACATCAAATATCAAATATACACACAATTTTCACATACAAATATCAAATATACACACAATTTTCACATATGGCAATTTTCACATAATTTTCACATACAAATACCAAATTCACAAAAAAATGAAATAATAGAACCTGTAGTGGCAGAAATCAACGGATATGTAGCCGGAAAAACTGCTATTCACCCGATGAAGCTACAAATCGACAGTAAAGATGATGTTTCCTTGCTTGTAAGGTCAAATGTCCTCCAACAAAACCTGGGAGCCATCCAAGATGTCACAAATCTCTTCAACAATATTTGCAAGGGTAACATACAAACTAAATTACCAAATCATAGAAATTTAATCAACACTTTTTCAGTGTTAACATACAAATTAACAAGGAAATTATCAAATCAAATTACCATTCTTCAAGAAATTGAGTTAGAAATCGGTCCCAAATCACACCTTCATCCTTAATATCCTTAATATGACACAATGTGGGGAGAAATCGGGATGGAACAAGAAAATTGAAGATGAAATCGGAAGAAGCTGGAAGGGGCGAAGGGTAGCGAAGGTAAACAGAAAGCAGAATATGGATGAATGACGTCTACTGCGTGCGTTTTTTTTTATCTGCGAGAGGCTTTACCGGCGACGCCTTTAGCGGCGACAAATAGGGTTTTACCGGCGACACTTATCAATAGCGGTGACAATCTGGAGGGAAGGGTACCGCATCATTTTTTAGTGAACTATTAGCGGCGACAATTTCAACCTTTAGCGGCGACACATATGTCGCCGGTATTAGGTTAGTTCGGATAAAGGACCGCAACCGTTGGATTGGATATTTGATCGAACGGTTTAGATGTAACGGAAGGGGAAAACGCGGATTCGGGTGATCACCCTTTAACGGCGATGCTATTACCGGCGACATGGGCTTTTAGCGGCGACAATCTCTAGAGTCGCCGCTAAAGACCTCCGTCGCCGGTAATAGCGTCGCCGCTAAAGGGTGATTTTCTTGTAGTGAAAGAGAAAGAAGTTATAAAACTGAGCCTCGGATTTTACTTTAAATAAATAAATAAATAAATAAATATCGTATGTCCCTTTCTACTCATAGTAAAAACTTCACCTAATTAAAATAGTGCTATGTATGATGAATCGAAACTAAAAGTATAATAAAAACTTCGCCAAGATCATAGTTATCAGATCTTATGTGTAGAAAAAAAAATTGAAGAAACTTGGTTCCATTGAAAACTATGATAAAGCCAACTAAAATTGTAATGAATCATGTAAATTCGTAATAACTAATACAAAGATTAGTAGAGTTAATCAATATAAAAGAGACAATTTATAGGAAAAAATAACTAACCTCGGTAACGGTGGATTCCTTGAACAGCTAGGCAATAATGAAGCTTGAAACTGTTGTGCTGGCATCTGACAAGTGGTTGATTTTGTATTAGGATTTCCCCCATCAACAACATTCAAGTTTTTCTTTGACTGAAGACAGGTGTTGTCAAGGTCAAAGATATGAGATTGTGTGAGCCCATCAGCACATTTTGTGTTCTTAGCAGTTTCATCAACATCAGCTTCCATCCTACTTAAATTGCCTACCAATAGCAACATAAGGAAAAGTTAGTTATATACATATGTTTGTTTCCACTGGAATCCCCAAGGATTTGTAAAAATTATTAATACATAACACAAAAAAGTTATTAACAAAATACATGGAACGTCCCATTAGAATCATTGTCATGATGCATGGTCACCTTCTTTGTGTAAATGAAATTCTCGTCTATGGACACCAAAAAAGTTATAAGAAAGGAAATGAAAGAATATGCAACATTAAGTTAAAATGTGTAAATCTTATGCAACTTGAAACTTTTAACTTCAATCTTTCCAACATACAATGCAATTTACAAATGGTAGTACAAGAAACATAAAGCCTCATATGTAAAACTAGCCGCAACCAGAGAATTCAGAATTTTTTAGAAGATTGTTTGTGTGAATACAAAGAAACAATAAGAACCAATGCCAATGTCAAGTACTTGTTTTTCAATTTTCTAAAGAAGGAGACATTGTAGTCAAGGTTATTAAATGTTCTCTAGTTCGGTTTTCTAGAGGTAAGAGGTAAAATGATGAAGTGCTGTGTGATGAATTATACTCGGAGCTTTGTATAATCTATTATGCTAATGAAGTAGTAATCATTACAATACATGCATACGAAAAAATAACTGACCTTTGTAAGTATTCCTTGAAGGAGGAAATATGCAAGGCGCTTGGATAGAAGCTTGAGAAGTAGTTGATTGCTATTCAGCATCATAATTCACCCCTTCATCATGATTCTCAGTATCATAACTTTCCTCATCATCAGAAATTTCAATATCATTATTTTCTCCATCATCAGACAACTCATCAAATGGGTGAATATCAATCAGGTAACAAAGAATGCCACCAATCCCACCAAGGCCTCTACAAAAGTTAAATCCCTCATGGGTTCTATTTGTGACAAACTCAAGCTTGCATCCAAATCTTTTGTACTCATTAGCAAACCACTCAAGAAGAGACATCTTTTCCTCAACTTCAAGTTCAACATTGCTGACCGAATCCCGAAAATTACTTTCATCAGTGTCCTGTTCCTTGTTTAAATGTTTTATAATAATTTCACCCGAAACACCGTTTCTAAGAACATACCGATTAATCTCCGGATTTTCCAAAACAATGAGTGTTTTGACAGCACCCATTTCTAAAGCTTCCAAAGTGTCATAAGCACCCACGACATACTTCCCGCTATCTTGCTTTATCTCCTCAAAATACTTCCCAATTAAATGCTTCTCCTGTATGAACTTCACATTTGCAAGAATCTCATAAGACAACTTAATAGACTGATTGAAACCATCTTCACCCCCATAAGAGACATCAACCACATCCAAGATTTTCGCCTGAAGACGTGGGTCAAACATATCAGATTGACCAAGGTCATTCTTGAAATCAGCGCATCCAGCAAGTATAAGTCCAGAAACATTAGGCTGATTAGTTGCAGGATTGATATAAAACTTTGTTGCAAGCTCTGCTGTTTTCCTTAAATAGTTGTGACGTTTCTCCATACGAATACGATCAAATCTCAAAGCTGATTGCCCTCCTCTTCCATGTTTCTTTGGCAAATCAACAGGAAATTTGTGTAGAACCTCCCTACTATCGCCCCTTACTATCCCAAACAGGGTGCCTTTTCCATCCATAACAATGAAGCCAAACGTGTCATCAGATTCCAACATTTGGTTAAGAGATTCTGTGTGGAACTTGTTATCACACAGGTAAAGAGATACGTTTATTGGTCTGAAAGGTTCAAAGTCGATTGTAACCTTTTTCTCTTTTCCATCATTTGTTAGTATTGTTCCAGTGTATAGAACAAGTCCATTTGGAGGTACCTTGTTGTAGAGCTTGAGCCTCTGTTGGGCAGATGTTATAGCACTTAAGACAGACTGACGATTCACCCTGCTCTTAATTTTGGAAGCAGTTCCCAATTCATCAGCAAGCATCTTTGTGACTCGTGAAATTTGATCACGTGGAGGGATTATCAGAGAAATCATGCTGCTTCCGTTGCCTCTCGCAGATTCAAGTCCCTTTATTAGCTTCTTCATCTTCCATATCTCGATATTCTCATCAGTTGACATCGTGCTTAGATTGCCTGCCAATAACAGCGTGAAAAAGATTCGGTTAGAAGCTTAGTCACGATCACCTTCTTTTTTGAATGAAGTTCTCCTGTATCGATATATGGATATCAAGAAAACATAAAAAAACGAAAAAAGATAGCCAAAGAAGGCGTATGCAACGTCAAAGAAAAAATATTGTATGTAACTTGGAACTTTAAACTTCAATCTCTCTGATATCAATGAAAATTACAGTTGCTAATTTAAAAAACGTACAGGCTTATTAAATAACTGCAGTGATCGAGAGTGGTGATCACTAATCATGTTAACCGCATTGAATTAAGCATGTCTTGCTTACAAGATTGGAAAAGTCAAATTTGTATGATGATACATTACTAATGGTGTAAGTGGTCAGCCCAAAGATCTTAGCTTGAGTTGACTTGGGTCAGCCCAACTGTTTTGGGTTAAATGACCCAATTAATAGCCCAATGTTTGTAGGCCCATGTATGTTTGCTTATATGCTGATTTCAGCTGTAGAGAGAGACAGGAACGTAAGTTTTGTAACAGGGGCAAAAGAGTGAGGTAAAAATAGCTTCTTAACCTAATACAAAAGTTTTCTCTCTTCTGTGGATGTAAGCAGGTTACTGCTGAACCACGTTAAATCTGTTGTTCTTCATTCTCTATTTTACTTTTCTTTATCTTGGTATTGTCATTGCTTGTTCTTGGGTCTAAGGGCAAAACGGGAATACAAAAGCAGAAGGCTTAATTGCTGGCAGATTTTGTAATTTTTCTGCATTGTTTTGCTGAAGCAACAATTGGTATCAGAGCTTAATATCAAATCCGGGTAGTAGAGCTCAGATTTGAGGTATTTAGGTGGTATTTTGTGTTCTGCACACAAGGTGTTCGATAAAAGTCCTGAGAGAGGCAGATTCTGAAACAAGCGGGTAAATAGCATCTACAAGCGGAACGGTTAAAGTTGGGAAGTATGAATTAGAGAAGTTCAATGGGAAGAATAATTTTTCTTATTGGAGGATGCAAATGAAAAATTTATTAATCTCACAGAACTTACACAAGGCTTTGGCGGGTAAGACAAAGAAGCACAAAGATATGTCCGATGAGGATTGGGAGGAGTTAGATCTTGAAGCACGAGCATCGATCATTTTATGCCCTGAAAGGGATGTTGCTTTCTTGGTTGGTAATGAAGAATCGGCAGCTGCGGTGTGGGAAAAGTTAGAAGCAAACTTCATGACGAAAACTCAAACAAACAGGATCTAATTGAAATCCAAATTGTTTACTTGCAAAATGGATGAAGGTTCTTCAATCCGGGAACACATAAGTAAATTTGATAGGTGTATATCAGATTTAAAAGACATTGATGTGAAGGTAGAAGATGAGGATCAAGCACTTTTACTACTTCTTTCGTTGCCAAAGTCTTATGAGAATCTTGTATAAACATTGATGCTTGTGGGTGACAGTCTTACGATAGATGAGACTAGAACGTCAATTCTAGCGGATGATCTTCGAAAGATTGCAACCGGTGACATGGCTGCTGCTAGTGGTAACAAAGACCAGGCACAAGGATTGTTTGCAAGAGGTAGAAGTAATGAGAGAGGAAAAGGCAAAGGAGGAAAGTCTAGATCTAAATCTAGAACTCTTGCTGAAAGGCGGTGTTTTAAGTGTGGCGAGCTTGGACATTTCAAAGCAAATTGTCCTAACAAGAGAGTAGGATGGAACAAAGAAAAGAAGAACAACAACAACAACAACAACAACAATAACAACAACAACAACAACAACTAAGGAAATGCACAAGAGAAGCAAGAAGCTAGTTATGCCTGGGGAGAAGAAAGCAATGATGAGTGTTACTTTGCCACTTCTGATGAAGAAATCTCTGGTAAATGGATTATTGATTCAGGTTGCTCGTACCATATGTGCCCAAATAGGAAGTGGTTTACTAACTATAGGAGCATAGATGGTGGAACCGTGGTAATGGGAAATAAGCATTCCTGCAAAACGGTTAGGCTCGGTTCTGTTAGAATCAAAATGCATGATGGAGTGGTTAGAACTTTATTTGATGTGAGACATGTTCCTGAGTTGCGAAAGAATCTCATCTCTGAAGGTGTATTGGACTCCGGTGGGTGTAAGATAGTTACATGGGAAGGAGTAAAGAAGGTTGTTCATGGTTCTTTGGTTGTAATGAAAGGTATTCGTCAAGGAAACCTTTACGTTCTTTCAGGTACGACTGTGACAGATGGTGCAGCAGTTGGAACAAATGGTAGTGGTGGTGACCCATGTGAAAGCACTCGGTTATGGCATAGATCTGAAAAGGTTCTTGATTTGCTTGGTAAAGAAGGTTTGTTGAAGAACTTGAAGAAGCCTTGCATGGATTTTTGTGAGCATTGCGTGTACGGTAAAGCACATCGGGTTCAGTTCAAATCAAGCAAACACAAAAGCAGAGGAATTTTATACTATGTGCATACAGATGTTTGGGGTCCGGCTTCAGTCACTTCGAAGGGAGGTTCCAGATATTTTGTCACTTTTGTGGATGATCATTCTAGGTATGTTTGGATTTACTTTCTGAAACACAAGAATGAGGTATTTGACACGTTTAAAAAGTGGAAAGCAATGGTTGAGAACAGAACAGGCAAGAAATTGAAGACACTTCGATCTGATAATGGTACAGAGTATACAGAAGGTGCCTTCAAGAAATTTTGTGATCATGAAGGAATTGCTAGACATTGGACGGTCAGAAAAACACCACAGCAGAATGGAGTCGCAGAGAGGCTGAATCGTACATTGCGAGAGAGATCAATGTGTATGCGATCATATGCTGGTTTGGGCAGAGAATAGTGGGCAGAGTCAGTTGCTACAACTTGCTACATTATCAATCGGTCTCCTCATGCATCTCTAGATGGAAATGTACCCTATAGGGTATGGTCAGGGGAACATGCAGATTATGAGAAACTCAGAATCTTCGGGTGCACAACCTATTATCATGTTAGTGAGGGAAAGCTTGAAGCAAGAGCCAAGAAGGCAATTTTCTTGGGATATGCATCAGGTGTGAAAGGCTATCGTCTTTGGTGTTTGGAAGATTCCAAGTTTATAATCAGCAAAGATGTTACTTTTGATGAGAACTCCAATGTAGCTTCTTCAAAAGCTACGGTCCCTAATGGTGATGACATTGAGACGGTCAAGTCTCAAGTAGTTGATATAGAACCTAAAAGCCAACAAGGTTCTAGTCGTGTTCACGAGGAAGATCATGGTGGTATTCACGATGATATTGAACATGAGACGGTTCAGCAAGAAAATGTACACGAACCAGAGGAACAAGAGCTCGGGGACAATTCAGTTTCTACTAGGCTGAGGCGAGCATATAAGAAAGTTCAAAAGTTGGGGTCTGATCAACCCTTGAAACACTACGGACATTCAAGTTTGGTTGAGTATGCACTCTCGATGGAGGAAGATGAGTCGGTCTCCTTCAAGGAAGCTATTCAGAATGGCAATAATGAGAGTTGGTTGGCTGCTATGGAAGAAGAGATGGAGTCTCTTCGAAAGAACCAAACTTGGGAGGTGGTCCCATTACCCGTAGGAAAGAAAGCTATTGGTTGTAAGTGGGTGTAAAAGAAAAAGGAGGGTTCTTCAGAACTCGGTGGTATAAGGTACAAGGGAAGATTAGTAGCAAATGGGTTTGCACAAAGAGAGGGAGTAGACTACAATGAGATATTTTCTCCGGTAGTGAAACACACTTCTATCCAAGTATTGTTGAGTATTGTTGCTCATGGTGATTTGGAGCTGGAACAACTCGATGTAAAAACCGCTTTCTTGCATGGAGAATTGGATGAGGAAATCTATATGCATCAACCTGATGAATTCAAGGTTGTTGATAAGGAAAGTCAGGTATGTCGCTTGAGGAAATCACTATATGGATTGAAGCAATCTCCTCGACAGTGGTACAAGCGGTTTGACTCTTTCATGTTGAAGCTTTGTGTTCTCCAGAAGTCTGTATGACTGTTGTGTTTACATGTGGAAGCTTCATGGAGGTGATTAAATGTATCTTCTTTTGTATGTGGATGACATGCTTATTGCTTCGAAGAGCAAAGTGGAGATAGATAGGCTGAAATCTCAACTTGGTAAAGAGTTTGAGATGAAGGACATGGGAATTGCCAAGAAAATAATGGGTATGGAGATTAGAAGAGAGAGGACGAAACATCGATTGTTCTTGAGCCAAAAAGGCTACATTGAGCGGGTCATTGCAAGGTTCGGGATGCAAGATGCCAAGCCAGTGGTGACTCCATTGGTTCCACAATTTAAGCTCTCTAGTAGACAATCTCCTTCTACAGCAGAAGATAAGACGTACATGGGGCGTGTGCCTTATGCCAGTGCAGTCGGCAGTCTGATGTATGCCATGGTGTGTACACGTCCAGATATTTCACAGGCGGTCAGTGTGGTCAGCAGGTTCATGGCGAACCCAGGGAAGGCACATTGGGAAGCTGTGAAATGGGTCTTGAGATATTTGAAAGGAACCACTGATATTGGTTTATGCTTTGGTGGAAATACATGTCGAATTACTGGATTTGTGAATTCAGACCATGCTGGTCATCTGGATAGATGTCGATCTACTACTGGTTATGTGTTAAAAAATACATGGTGCTCCAGTTAGTTGGCGATCGATGATACAAGCAACAGTAGCGCTTTTTACTACAAAAGCTGAGTATATGGCTATAACAGAAGGTGTAAAGGAAGCACTGTGGTTTTGGGGTTTTTTAGATGATTTGGGGTTTGAGCAAGATTGTGTAGACTTGTGGTGTGATAGTCAAAGTGCAATTCACTTAGCTAAGAATCAAGTTTGTCATGCTCGTACCAAACATATAAATGTCAGATATCATTTTGTGTCGGATGTCATAGAAGAGGGTGATATTTCTCTTATGAAGGTGCACACTGATGAGAACACAGCAGACATGTTAACCAAGGCGGTACCAGGTGGCAAGTTTAAACATTGCTTGAACTTGCTTAATATTAATCAGTGT